TACCAAAGTTCTTCGGTTCCGACTCAGACCGAAGCCTATTGATGAACAGTCATTTAATCTGTAAGGAGTGACTCTGTGAATGTCTAAAACAATAGCAACTCTTGATCTATCCTAAAGCCTGTCATTCTAAACATGCTCCTACTTCTGGTAATGGAACTCTCACGCAGGGCCACACAGCACTCACGCTACAATCACTGCAAGCTAAGTAACTGATAATTGCTGGCATTTAATGGTGTAATTGCAGTGGGATCTTAACACGGCTGTAATTGCGGCTCTCATTAGGAGTGACAGGCTGTCTGGATACCCAGCAGCACAGAACCAGTCCCGACGTGGTTCCGTCACCGGCATATGACCAAAGCAAAGTAAGGGACAATGGGCTCTATCTTGCACCCGGCTCAAATACACACTAACGCATGTCTCATTCCTATTTTGAACCCGCGCAAAGTGGGCTTTTTTCCTCCAAAGATGCACGTCGGTAAACTAGGATATGAACTTTCCGGCGCAAAAAAAGGAGGCATGTGTGCTTTTTTGCAGTTCCAGAAAACAATTGCGCCACTGACCAGATAAAAACCTGGTCTAAAGTCAGTGGCATGGTGCGTGTTGTTCATAATGCTATTTTGAGCGCGCATTCTTGGCCATAATGTATCGGGTGCACAACGCGCTTACACTTTGATTCTCTCATCAACATAGATGCAGCAGTTTTTATTTTAGCAAATCATACATTATAACAAGGAAAAATATTAACACATGAGGGAAAACATTGTGGTTTCCATGAAGATGAAAAACCCAATTAGCCAATTTTTTTTAAGGCTAATTGTATACTGATGGTAAACCCGCCTGGTAAACCCGCCATTATAATAACAATCCGCCATGCAACATGCGCACCTGCTCTTAAAGGGTATGTTGGATGACGCTCTGATTGGTATATTTCACGTTACTCCCAAACCACACCTACGAATAATGAGGCTACTTCAGACCCACCCCTTTTAACATTGCGTTGGGCGCAAGAGTTATTTATCCCGCCGGTAAAATAGCAACAGCACCCAAGACCAACCCACAAAGTTACTTGATAGTCTTAGAGTTTCAGCTGAGACGAACTTCTGTTATCCATGATTGTTCAAGAACAACACATCATAGAATCATACTGATTTTGAGAAGTATTTCATAAACAAACATGCTACTTTTTGTATTTTTACCACAAAATCTGAGTTTCAAATGAGTTAAAACAACGTTCTAATTGATACTTTGAAGAACAAAAGGAGACGTTATTAAGACTGCTCTTTTCCATGCAATTATGGGGGCTTAAAAAGCCTCATAAAAGTGGTTTAAATGATTTCAAATGCTCCATATTAAGTTTTCTGAAGTCATGTGAGGAACAGAGCAAACTTTAAGAAATGGAGCAAAGAAGTCATTATTATTTAAAAAAAAATCTAATGAGAAGTGGCAATGTCCAATTGAATCAATGTTTGAGTTGGATCTTGTCAATCAAACAGTTGATCCATTTCACTGAAGCGTTCTCTCGAGTTTAACTTGATGATTCAATCCTCTGGTTACAGTGAAAACCAACTTAAATTTCAGTCTTATCATTACACAAAGCTATCTTCAGAAGACATATAGCAAATGATTCATATGGACCACATTATCAGTCAATTTCTGAAACTCAAAAGCTCCAGTTCCCATTCATCATAAGTGCATGGAAACGAGTGACTAGCACACCCATACGGAAATTCTCATTTTGTGTTCCAGAGAGGAAAGGATGACATTAGGGCAAGTAAACAATGGCAGTTTTTAATTTGAAGCGAGTTAAACATTTGAGAATCTCACTCAGAAATGCACCAGTAACGCGTCCACCCTTCCTTGCAAAATTCGAAGAGAACAGGTCGCTTATCAGCCGGCGGTTTTTGGCTGTTAAAGTTAACATCACTCTGGCTGATGCTTCCAGCTGGCGGAGACAGAGGAATAACTTCTCGTCAGCGACGCGCCAATCGCTGTTGATTTGAAACGGCTGTGACAGCAAACAGTCGATAAAGTCTTTAGCGAGACAGCTCTGTGCAAACTCTTAGCCGTGTAATTAGCCCCCCCTCAGTTACACCGGGAATCTCAACACAAAAGAGAAAGAGGCTGCGTCCTATAACGGCCATCAATAAGGCATGGTGAGGAGTGTCACGGTGCCATCAAATACCCAAGCTTCCTCTCTCTGCCACTAATGACTGCCTTTGCAAAGCAGTCTGTTAAAACGATAACAAGTGGCACGTGTTTCATCAGGCCCTAATGGTCCACCAGTGCCTGCCCAGTGCCTGATGGGATTTTTGACAGGCAGACAAAATGTTGATTGGCCAGAAGGTAATGAGGGGGAAGGCTCATGTTAGCAGTGCTGTAAGAAAATGGCCAGCTATTTGGACTAGCGTTTCTCCACCGATAATGACTTTTAAACAACTCGCCGAGATACGAGGATTTAAGCGAGTCGCGGCTTGTCAGAATGACTTTCGGTCCATTTGCCTGGGGTGCAGGTCCACTGGCCCATGTGATCATAAAATACACACGACACTCTCTACAGTAAGTTTGGCTAGAAATTCGTTCCAATGGAAAGAAAAATCCCCAATGGGATGCCATTAGCATCTCAATTGTTTCTCCTAGACAGCAATGCAATCAAGTGAAGAGTAAATTAAAGCTGTTAAATTAAATTCTCCTATGCCAGTACTCATATGTGTCTCTTTTCCTAAATGCAGCAACTAAAGTCAGAAATCTCTCTCTCTGTCTATCCATCCATCCATCCATCCATCCAGATTCTATAGAATTGTATGTTGTATGAGTAAAGATCAATGTTTGAGTTCATATTGAGATTGAATTTAATTCTATGATATAATATAATTCAATGTTGAGTGAATGTTTAAATGTAGAAAAGTTTAAAGAATAAAACATAGAATTTTTTTTTGGAAATAGGCTGATTTTACAACTCACTCAGAGTTAAACAGTTGAGTTTTACCATTTTCAAATCCATTCAGACGATTTTCTGATTTTAGAAGAATATCAGTAACCAGACAGTTTCTGGTCCCATTGACGTCCATATAGAACAATATCAGTAACCAGACAGTTTCTGGTCCCATTGACTTCCATATAGAAGAATATCAGTAACCAGACAGTTTCTGGTTTCATTGACGTCCATATAGAAGAATATCAGTAACCAGACAGTTTCTGGTCCCATTGACTTCCATTAGAAGAATATCAGTAACCAGACAGTTTCTGGTCCCATTGACGTCCATATAGAAGAATATCCGTAACCAGACAGTTTCTGGTCCATTGACTTCCATTTAGAAGAATATCAGTAACCAGACAGTTTCTGGTCCCATTGACTTCCATTTAGAAGAATATCAGTAACCAGACAGTTTCTGGTCCCATTGACGTCCATATAGAAGAATATCCGTAACCAGACAGTTTCTGGTCCCATTGACATCCATATAGAAGAATATCAGTAACTAGACTGTTTTTGGTCCCACTGACTTCCATATAGAAAAATATCAGTAACCAGACAGTTTCTGGTCCCATTGACTTCCATATAGAAGAATATCAGTAACCAGACAGTTTCTGGTCCCATTGACGTCCATATAGAAGAATATCAGTAACCAGACAGTTTCTGGTCCCATTGACGTCCATATAGAAGAATATCAGTAACCAGACAGTTTCTGGTCCCATTGACGTCCATATAGAAGAATATCAGTAACCAGACAGTTTCTGGTCCCATTGACGTCCATATAGAAGAATATCAGTAACCAGACAGTTTCTGGTCCCATTGACGTCCATATAGAAGAATATCCGTAACCAGACAGTTTCTGGTCCCATTGACTTCCATTTAGAAGAATATCAGTAACCAGACAGTTTCTGGTCCCATTGACTTCCATTTAGAAGAATATCAGTAACCAGACAGTTTCTGGTCCCATTGACGTCCATATAGAAGAATATCCGTAACCAGACAGTTTCTGGTCCCATTGACATCCATATAGAAGAATATCAGTAACTAGACTGTTTTTGGTCCCACTGACTTCCATATAGAAAAATATCAGTAACCAGACAGTTTCTGGTCCCATTGACTTCCATATAGAAGAATATCAGTAACCAGACAGTTTCTGGTCCCATTGACGTCCATATAGAAGAATATCAGTAACCAGACAGTTTCTGGTCCATTGACGTCCATATAGAAGAATATCAGTAACCAGACAGTTTCTGGTCCCATTGACGTCCATATAGAAGAATATCAGTAACCAGACAGTTTCTGGTCCCATTGACTTCCATATAGAAGAATATCAGTAACCAGACAGTTTCTGGTCCCATTGACGTCCATATAGAAGAATATCAGTAACCAGACAGTTTCTGGTCCCATTGACGTCCATATAGAAGAATATCCGTAACCAGACAGTTTCTGGTCCCATTGACGTCCATATAGAAGAATATCAGTAACTAGACCGTTTTTGGTCCCACTGACTTCCATATAGAAAAATATCAGTAACCAGACAGTTTCTGGTCCCATTGACTTCCATAGTATATATATTTTTTCCTATATGGAAGTCAATGTTTTAACTCTGAGGGAGTTGTAAAATCAGCCTATTTCCAAAAAAAGTGGAGTATCCCTTTAATATTCTAGTAGCTACTTAATGTGTTTTTGACAATTAAATAACCATTTATTTGAAATAAAAACTTTTTTAGCATCATAAATGTCTTTATTTTTACCAATATAATACACTCTAGATGAATAGAGTTATTTCTTTACAAACATCTTACTGACTTAAACCAGTTTAACAGTAATGCAAATATGTATAAAGTTACGATCTGATTAAACAAACTGACAAGTTGCAATCAAACATAGGCTGGTTTAAGCTTCGTCTTCTTTTTTCAGAAATGAAGTTAACAGCTAATAACATCTCCTGAGCTATGCAAAAACAACGGCTTCCTTACTGAACAAAATAAAACTACCCAAAACAATAAACAACAAGCAGGTCTCTTACCATGGTCTTCTGACACTGTATGCTGGTGCTGTTGAAGCGCAGTGCAGTGACACTGTACTCTTTCCCCTGGATATAGAAGATACACTCGTAGTTCCTCTGGCCAGACTGCGGCTGTGGAAGGTTCCGGGCCAACAGGGTGATGGGCTTCATGACACCAACGGGGATGTAGATTTGAGTGGACGGTAGGATCTGAGGACACTCCTGCAAAATGAAAAAAAAAAAGCCCTTTTTATATATGTTTTATAATCAAATAGGAGTGAAGAGACTCCCAAAACTATGATATTAAAGGATTTATTTAAAAATATTTTATCATCTGTGAGAGGAAAATCATACATATGGTCACTTGGAGGGTTGAAGCATGTATTTAGAGGTATGAAAGATGTATTTTTACACACACATAGACATCATTTGAGACTGCTATACAGAAAACATAATGACTCGCTATTATAATTTTGATAGATTCAAATAACAGCACTTAGGTCTACAGAAGATCAAATACACTTTGATCTTAATACTTGAGTAAATGTGGTCATTCAGACATGGCAGTGATGCTGCTAAATCAAGAGCGAGTGAAGGCGAGGATATGAAGGATGCGAGGAGGACTTCAAGGCCATTGCCACCGTTGTCATGCCAACAGATTGGAAAACCAGGGCACAGAAAATGCAATTAAGCTTTTTGAGGGCGTGTGCCATTTTAAAGACTTGGCATTGGCACCCGAGTTATGATGCCAACTGTGCACTTTAACTAGGCAGCAGCATAACCAGGCACGAGATCTTACCCGGCAAGACCTCTCCTCAAGAAAACTATTATAAATCTTCAGATGTAGATAAAACACAGAATAAGTGCTTGTGTGAGTGTGTAAACTGCTTAAAACTGTTTTCACAGACACATCTCATGTGCAACACATAAAACCCAAAATTGAAACAAAAAACTGAAGCACCACATGATGGAAGATACAACTAGATCAAAGCATCAGGCTTTCTATTGATGCTTTGATGCAGTAGGAGAACTTGTGGTGCCATGATGCAGCAATTGGTAGAGTGAATCTCACAAAACCTCTTTATATCATATTTCAATATCTAATATATCTATTGTTAGTGCAGGGCAACGATTAGTCTTTGTTTACATAATATATGTGTGCGTGCCGTACTGTGTATAATTATTTTTATTTTAAATACACACACGCATTATACATTTTATACATTAAAAAAAAAGGTTATTTATATATATATATACAAAATGTGTATATAATGAAAATTATGTATATATATATATATATATATATATACACACACACATATATATACACATATACATACACACATATGTATATATATATATATATATATATATATACACATATATATACATTTATATACACACATATACATATATATATATATATATATATATACACACACACACACACACACACAGAAGGTCAAAAGTTTTAGATCAGTAAGATTTTTTCTGTTTCTAAATGAAGTCTCTTCTGCTCACCAAAGCAGCTTTTGATGAAAAAAAAAATGACAAACAGTAATATTGTGAAATATTATGACAATTTAAAATGACTATTTTCTATTTTAATATATTGTAAAATGTAATTTGAAAGCTGAATTTTCAACATCATTACTGTTGCTGATTACACATCAGTTTTCAGTGTCACATGATCCTTCAGAAATCCTTATAATATGCTGATTTTATGCTCAAAAAACACAAATTATTATTTTCAATGTTGAAAACAGTCATGTACCATTTTTTCTAAAACTTTTGACCGGTAGTGTGTATATTAGGGACGGGCAACGATTAATCACGATTAATCGCATCCAAAATAAAAGTTTGTGTTTACATAATATATGTGTGTGTAGTGTGTATAATTACTTTGTATATATATAAATACACACACATGCATGTATATATTTAAGAAAAAAATTGTTATTAATATATCAAATATTTATATTTATATATAATATTAATTGTGAATAAATATATACAAAATATATACATGCACATATTTCTTAAATATATACATGCATGTGTGGGTATTTATATATACAAATTAATTATACACACTACACAAACATATATTATGTAAACACAAACTTTTATTTTGGATGCGATTAATCGCGATTAATCGTTGCCCATCCTCTATATATATATATATATATATATATATATATATATATATACATGCAGTATATAAATACAAATATTTCTTAAATATATACATGCATGCATGTGTCCTTATATTACAAATTAATTATGCAAAGTACACACACACATACATATAATAATGTAAACATTTTTTATTTTTATTTTGGATGTGATTAATTGTTGCCAAACACTAATAATTTTATACATTTAAAAAAGTATAAAATCTGCTTAAAATATATAAGAAATTCAAAAAACTAGCAAGCACCTAGAAAACCATATACTGTACATGATGGATGGATGGATGGATGGATGTGATGCATGAATATGATAATCATTTAGTACCATAAATAAAAAAGTAAGTGACCTGGTTGCCTTAAAATTTTAAGTTCATTGAAATGGAAAAAAAAAAGTTAATACAATGAAGGAGAATGATTAATCATCAGAAACTCAAAGTTATGTTATCTGAACTAAATAAATAATTTAAGTTGATTTGACAAAAGAAAAAAAATGTTGTGATTACTAATCATGAAAAGATTTTTTTACAATGAAATCAAGTTGTGTAACCTCAAAATAAAGCAACATTTGCAGCATGAAAGACGCAGCACATCTTTCCCCCGACCTCGGCTATCAAAGCCTGATAAAGCGTCTGAACTTGTTACCCTCATTTCCTATTTACCCTGCCTATTTCTAATTGAATGGGAGGAGTATGGAACACCAGCGGCGTTATTAAAATCTAGCGGAGATATGAGCTAGCGCTGCCACGGCGAGGGCTCTGTAAACACACCTGATGGGAAAGCCACATGCGGATCGGTGACTGCAGAGTTCCATTGGGCTGCCGGTTTAATTGCCTCGGGCGCCAGTCTCCTTATTAATACTGTGCTCTCGATTCAGTTGTGACTGAATAAATAGACTGTGATGCAGTTTCCCCCCACCACCACCACCACCCTCATTGGAGCGAGCCTGTGTTAGCGTTCAATTACTGTGTGGTACACAAAGGTGAGGGTTTCGCTGCTAATGAAAAGGTGCAATTTGTTCAGAGTCAATAAAGGCCTGTATGCTGAGCACAGAGAGCCCTTATCAGTTTCCTAAGAACGCAGCACACAAACCCAAAACTATATCACTGCTAGAGGTTTAAAAGGAAATGTGTTTTCGCTGCTTGTAACAGTCGGTTGCGTGCAGCATGATGGCTGCATACTAAATACTTATGTTTTCAAAGGCTGAATCATAAGCACATGCCACTAAAAAAATATGGCATTTCTATAATACTATGGTACAAACAACTGGTTAAATCTCATTAATAGTACAGTACTACTCATTATATGAATTTTATTTTATATATATTGCATACTGTATGTGTTTTATGTGTTTTAAATTTAATTTGCAACAATGCTACATTGCAAATCATAGTTGATTAGATAATCATAGTTTTATTTTAATATCCATCCATCCATCTACCTATCTATCAATCCATCTATCATCTATCAATATATTATGATTGTTACTATATGCATGCTATAAATGTCATACATACAGTATATATGCATGTTTTGTGTGTGTGTGTGTGTGTGTGTGTCTCTCTATATATCTATACATCTATATCTATATATCTAATCTATACGTCTATATCTATATATGAAGAGAAATTTTCTTCTTTAATGATGATTTTTATCAAGCTTGTATATTTAAGTTCAGTGATTTCACTTAAATGGCAATGATAATTACCTATTAATTGTTATTTAAGTGAAATTACTGAACTTAAATATACAAGTTTGATAAAAATCATCATTAAAGAAGAAAATTTCAAATGGCATTTAGAGGCTTTTGCATCTGAACTCTTCATATGTAGAATGCTGCAGTACAAAAAAAGTCTTAACAGTCTCAAAATAAGCCCTTTTTCACATTATGATTGTTACAAAAGAAATTATGGTAGAAGTATATTACATACTAAAGAGCCACTCTATACATTCTGCTTTATTTCCCATCATATTAGTTTCCAAGTGACATAAAATTGAGCATATCTTCAAAGACGAATGCGTTGGCATCATTAGTTCTGCTATCCCTTCACACTCAGCTTGCTTGTAAGTTTGTTTGTTTCGTTTTTTTCAATAAACTGCCATGAAATCTAATTACCATGATTAGTTTGGCTTCGTTCCGAAAATAATCTGCAAACGTGTCACAATGTCATTTAACAACGTCTATTCAGCTCGCAACTGCGTGAGGCAAAAGGGGAGAAATGATAAGAGTGACTGAGAACCAATCAGAGGAGAGCGGGAGCTGGTATCGGTCATGCTAAACCACCTGACTGGCGCTGAGAGACGCTTAGCTTGTGGCTCTGCCATTCGTTTCGGCAATCAAAACACACAGGTGGAGAAAAGATAGCCGTAAACTACACATTTAATGAAACGCTCCAACCATCTGATAAGGAAGGGATGCCTTTTAGAAGAGATGCGAGTCCACCCCTACGGAAAAAATGGAAATGAACGGGAACGAGAAAGAAAAAGGAAAGGAAAAAGGAATGAAAGAGAAACAGAATGGGTGAAAAGGGCATCTAAAAAAAAAGTAGCTACCATTGCACGCTTTTTTGTACATATAGATCGTTTGATATTTGGTAATTTAATGGCACATTAATATGGTAATCTCAACGTATTATACCATTTCCATCAGATATTATCACCGTAATACCACAAAACTACATTTGTAAGAGTAATCAGACTGTAAGAAAGCACAAGAGCTAGAGCAAACGTGGGAAACTACTTTATTAAGTACCCTGACAGGTGTCAAAACAGGGTTGAAAGAGCAGATCAGATGGCACACTCGCTGAGCACAATGGAATAATGGTGTACCGCGGGGATTCCTTTGAAGTGTTTCACGTTTTCTCCTTCTTACTGCCTTTATTTGCTTTGAAATGACTGCGGCTCGGGTGAGCCGGGAATCCAGGTTATCATGCAGTGTGCGCCCCCACAGCGCTGAATCACATAGTGGGAATGAGCTCGGAGCAAACTCACATGTTCAAGTTAGAAAACTCAAATCCATCAGACCGACGCTGA